GTTTTATGAGGTATTTTGTCTAAAGCATCTTACAGTTATGCAAATTCATATTCTCAAACCCATTCTCATAAGGAATGAGAGGTGGGGACCTTTACTGGCTATTCAAGTACTAAGTACAAAAGAATATAGCCAGGATAGGTCAAATTAAAGAGTGGAACTATTTTCTCTGAAAACCACTGCTAGGGAGAAGACTGGGTAATGTGAAATGCTACCTTTGGAAAAAAATAATAATTTTGCAAAATGCTGCAGATCCCAAATACAGAAAAGTTCAAGTAAAGACAATCTTTACATTGAGGAGTTTTTCATTGACATACTGGGGTCTAGCAAGCCTGATAAGAGGGACTGGATACCTTCTATGACAGTGAACGGAAGAATTATTCTATAGAAAATGGACATTGGCATTCAACTTAATATTGTTTCTGGAAAAAAAATATTATGAAAGATGAAAAATAAGACCAAAACTAGCACCAATATTAGTAAAAGTAACTTGTTATCTTGGGACAAATATACCAGTGCAGGGGAAGTGCACTGCTAGTATCAATCATAAAAATACCATATACAGTACTGGCTCCCATTCACTTCATGCCAGTGGAGATGACACCAATTATAGACCTGGATGTATGTGAGAAGCTCAATCTGGTAAAACAGGTGCTTTCACTACAAGATCATACTGAACCTGTCTATGAGGCACTCTTTTGCAAATATCATTATCTGTTTCAAGGGTTGATTTCCTTGCAAAGATAAATAAGCATGTGTCTCCAATTATCCATCCATGTTGAAAGGCACCATTTGCACACCATGATAAACTCATGGCTGACCTTGCAAGGACAGAAGCAATGCAAGCCATATAAAACTTGAAGCCAACTGAATGGGTGAGCCCCCTCCTCACTATGGAGAAAAGTAACAGACAGCTTCTCATATGTTTATATTCCAGAGACCTCAACAAGATTATAGAAAGAGGCTGTTTCAAACTGCCAGCCAGAAAAAAAGATGCAAATCTTAATCAGCAATTTGCAAATCCCAGTATTTAAATAAATTGGATGCATTTTCAGGGTTTTGACAGCATCCTGATTAAGCTGCAAATGTATGATTTCATTGTGATCTCTACACCCAGTGAATTCACTAACAGTGCACTCTGAAGAGTAGTGGCTGCTATGAAAAAAAAGAGAATTTTATGGAGACAGAGCTGCAAGCCTTAAATGGATCTGATTGTAAAGTCAATTCTCATAGCTAACAGGAAACTGGAAGAAAAAAGAAAGGAAATGGAAAAAGATTAATCATTGTTAATCCTTAAAGAAGTGATAATTCAAGGGTGGCCTGAAGAAGTGAGAAGTTGCTGTTCAACTAGAAGAGACTATTGGAACAGCAGACATGAACTTACTATGACAGATGAGGTGATTTTCAAGGGTGATAAGCCTGTAATTCTAATGAGCTTCCAAAAACAAAAGCAACAGAAGATCCATGAGGATCATTTAGGAATTGAGAGGTGCAAACGAAATGAGCACGAAAGATGCTGTATTGGCTGAGGATCCATTATGAAATCACTAATGTGGTAAGAAACAAAGACCCACTGAAATGTCATCCAGTTCCATAAAGGCCTTTTGATAAGGAAGGCACTGATTTATTTACCTGGTAATCAAAGGACTATTGTTCTCTGTATCCAGAAATCTGCACACAGCACAGTACTAATAGTAAATCAGTGCTAGCTGGCATGAAGGGAATTTTCTCCAGGCATAGAATTCCAGACAAAGTTTTTAGCAATAACAGGCTGCAATTTTCTAGTGCAGATTTTAGGCAATTTGCCATATATCAGTGGGAGGACTTGTATAAATTATTACTGTTTTACCATAGTACACCCCTGGAGAACAGCTTTTCTCAAGACCACCTATTAATCGGAAGTAGTATTGCATCTAATAAAAGGGCATCCTGAAGTTGAGGATGGTGGGCCGGGTTCTGGCATGGCCTAGGGAATAGGGCATTCACCTGGGGAGGGGGAGGGTGAAGGGGTGGGGGTGAGCGTGAGGGGAGCTCCAAACAGAGCACACATAGGATAAAAGAAACAAAAATTGCACTGAAAGGTAAAATGGAATCATATAAATAAAGCTCTTTTAAAAGCTTAAACACAAAACATTCTCCCCCACATGACTGTGGAGTATCGTACTCCAGCACAAGTGTATAACATTTAAAGTATTTACATGTATTTAAAGTAACTTCTTACTCTGAGTGAAAGCAAAAAGTGCAAATGCACGTGGATTGAAAATGCATGACAAAAAAGAGTGATGACTGTAAGTAAAGCACCTTATGCGAAGAGTTATTAAATAAATGACTCCAAATAAAAACTATTATTTATGGTAACAACATGGTAATTATTTATGGTAAAAACAATATAATTATGGTAAAACTTAAACAACAAAGAGTCTAGCAGCACCTTAAAGACTAACAAAACATGTAGATGGTATCGTGAGCTTTCATAGGCACAACCCATTTCTTCATCATTGTTTTTTAAACTTTTCCAGTTACAGACTAACTCAGCTACCCCTCTGAAATTATTAATGGGTTCAAGTAAAGACAATCTTTACATTGAGGAGTTTTTCATTGACATACTGGGGTCTAGCAAGCCTGATAAGAGGGACTGGATACCTTCTATGACAGTGAACGGAAGAATTATTCTATAGAAAATGGACATTGGCATTCAACTTAATATTGTTTCTGGAAAAAAAATATTATGAAAGATGAAAAATAAGACCAAAACTAGCACCAATATTAGTAAAAGTAACTTGTTATCTTGGGACAAATATACCAGTGCAGGGGAAGTGCACTGCTAGTATCAATCATAAAAATACCATATACAGTACTGGCTCCCATTCACTTCATGCCAGTGGAGATGACACCAATTATAGACCTGGATGTATGTGAGAAGCTCAATCTGGTAAAACAGGTGCTTTCACTACAAGATCATACTGAACCTGTCTATGAGGCACTCTTTTGCAAATATCATTATCTGTTTCAAGGGTTGATTTCCTTGCAAAGATAAATAAGCATGTGTCTCCAATTATCCATCCATGTTGAAAGGCACCATTTGCACACCATGATAAACTCATGGCTGACCTTGCAAGGGCAGAAGCAATGCAAGCCATATAAAACTTGAAGCCAACTGAATGGGTGAGCCCCCTCCTCACTATGGAGAAAAGTAACAGACAGCTTCTCATATGTTTATATTCCAGAGACCTCAACAAGATTATAGAAAGAGGCTGTTTCAAACTGCCAGCCAGAAAAAAGAGCGTGAGGGGGGCTCCAAACAGAGAGCACATAGGATAAAAGAAACAAAAATTGCAGATGCAAATCTTAATCAGCAATTTGCAAATCCCAGTATTTAAATAAATTGGATGCATTTTCAGGGTTTTGACAGCATCCTGATTAAGCTGCAAATGTATGATTTCATTGTGATCTCTACACCCAGTGAATTCACTAACAGTGCACTCTGAAGAGTAGTGGCTGCTATGAAACAAAAGAGCATTTTATGGAGACAGAGCTGCAAGCCTTAAATGGATCTGATTGTAAAGTCAATTCTCATAGCTAACAGGAAACTGGAAGAAAAAAGAAAGGAAATGGAAAAAGATTAATCATTGTTAATCCTTAAAGAAGTGATAATTCAAGGGTGGCCTGAAGAAGTGAGAAGTTGCTGTTCAACTAGAAGAGACTATTGGAACAGCAGACATGAACTTACTATGACAGATGAGGTGATTTTCAAGGGTGATAAGCCTGTAATTCTAATGAGCTTCCAAAAACAAAAGCAACAGAAGATCCATGAGGATCATTTAGGAATTGAGAGGTGCAAACGAAATGAGCACGAAAGATGCTGTATTGGCTGAGGATCCATTATGAAATCACTAATGTGGTAAGAAACAAAGACCCACTGAAATGTCATCCAGTTCCATAAAGGCCTTTTGATAAGGAAGGCACTGATTTATTTACCTGGTAATCAAAGGACTATTGTTCTCTGTATCCAGAAATCTGCACACAGCACAGTACTAATAGTAAATCAGTGCTAGCTGGCATGAAGGGAATTTTCTCCAGGCATAGAATTCCAGACAAAGTTTTTAGCAATAACAGGCTGCAATTTTCTAGTGCAGATTTTAGGCAATTTGCCATATATCAGTGGGAGGACTTGTATAAATTATTACTGTTTTACCATAGTACACCCCTGGAGAACAGCTTTTCTCAAGACCACCTATTAATCGGAAGTAGTATTGCATCTAATAAAAGGGCATCCTGAAGTTGAGGGTTCTGGCATGGCCTAGGGAATAGGGCATTCACCTGGGGAGGGGGAGGGTGAAGGGGTGGGGGTGAGCGTGAGGGGAGCTCCAAACAGAGCACACATAGGATAAAAGAAACAAAAATTGCACTGAAAGGTAAAATGGAATCATATAAATAAAGCTCTTTTAAAAGCTTAAACACAAAACATTCTCCCCCACATGACTGTGGAGTATCGTACTCCAGCACAAGTGTATAACATTTAAAGTATTTACATGTATTTAAAGTAACTTCTTACTCTGAGTGAAAGCAAAAAGTGCAAATGCACGTGGATTGAAAATGCATGACAAAAAAGAGTGATGACTGTAAGTAAAGCACCTTATGCGAAGAGTTATTAAATAAATGACTCCAAATAAAAACTATTATTTATGGTAACAACATGGTAATTATTTATGGTAAAAACAATATAATTATGGTAAAACTTAAACAACAAAGAGTCTAGCAGCACCTTAAAGACTAACAAAACATGTAGATGGTATCGTGAGCTTTCATAGGCACAACCCATTTCTTCATCATTGTTTTTTAAACTTTTCCAGTTACAGACTAACTCAGCTACCCCTCTGAAATTATTAATGGTGTTGATCATAAAAGAGAAATATCAGGCAAGGTAAACTAAACTGGTTTTGAAAAAGAACATAAATGCTAATTTTGTAAAGGTTGCACATGTTGAGAAGAACTTCACTTACCGGGTCATTAGGATTGTACTGAATGACATATTCTATCTGGCCATTGGGACCATCATCTATGTCTGTGGCACCATTGTTCCCAGAGAATCCTGTAAAGATGGTTGTTCCAACTGGTGTTAACTGCAACAAAAACAAAGAGAATATACACACTTCAAAACAATAAAAAATCAGGAAAAATATAAAAGAAAGGCTGCCATTCCCTCTTTCATCTTTTTTGTGCCTAAAAGCTCAACAAAATGTTTACCATAATTTATAGACCCGATATTTTCAGTCTCTGGTTTAGATCATGTTATTTCCTTGAGAAAGGGTTAAAACCATAAATGGGGTTGACTCATATATTTTCTATGGATCGATGCATTAATTCTCAATCTCAACAGAGTTCTTGTTACTGTACAAAAGCAAGTTTTCACTACATCTTGGTAGGAACAATCTTACACCCATTCATTTTAATTTGAAAATGTTGTTTTCCAAACCATCCTAGATTAATTGAGCAGTAAGGGTGAATTTCTGGCCACTGCAGAAGTTAATGGCAGAACTTCCATTGACTTTAGTAGACTCAAACTGTCATCTGTAATGTTCAAAGATAATCATACCAGGATAAAACACAAAATAAACAAACCAAAATCCTAATTTGAGCTGTAAATATAAACAGGAAATTATTTCAGTTTAGAAGCTAACCACCACTAACTGCATTATTGGACCAATTTCTTCTTTCTTACAAAGCTGAAGAAATATATGTCTGGAGGCTACCACATGGAGTCAGGGGAACAGAATCCCCCATTCAGGAAAGAGATAATCAGAGCAGGCACTCCTTGTTAACATTAGCTATACTAGTAGCAACTGTCTCATACTCTCATTACACAGGAGGATTTAGCCACAGTCATCAACCTGTTGGCCATAACTATACTAGTAGCAACTGTCCCATACTCTCATTACATAGGAGGGTTTAGCCACAGTCATCAACCTGTTGGCCATACCAACATCTTTTCTTCAAACTCCTCATGCTGCTGTTAAGACAAAGCCAAGCTGCCACAAAGTAATTCTTCTTAGACAATAGGATCCCACACGACACCAGTTTTATTACTTTTCAGACTGCGTGCAAGCTAAGAGAGGAAAGGATGTGTCACACTGAGTTTAATTAAAATACATTTGTATAATAGAAGAAGGATATAATTGCCCTGCATCGCCACATTACATAGTTAACAACACACAACAAATAACTCAAAACTGCCAACTTGCATTGTTTTCTACTGTATATTTGACTTAGATTTTGCAGGGTCGAGGTTTGATTTTTAAAATTTGTTGTTTATGGAATTTAGATTTCTCTAATCAATATTTTCAGAGCTAACAATAATGAAGATCAAACACAAAATAAACAAACCAAAATCCTAATTTGAGCTGTAAATATAAACAGGAAATTATTTCAGTTTAGAAGCTAACCACCACTAACTGCATTATTGGACCAATTTCTTCTTTCTTACAAAGCTGAAGAAATATATGTCTGGAGGCTACCACATGGAGTCAGGGGAACAGAATCCCCCATTCAGGAAAGAGATAATCAGAGCAGGCACTCCTTGTTAACATTAGCTATACTAGTAGCAACTGTCTCATACTCTCATTACACAGGAGGATTTAGCCACAGTCATCAACCTGTTGGCCATACCACCATCTTTTCTTCAAACTCCTCATGCTGCTGTTAAGACAAAGCCAAGCTGCCACAAAGTAATTCTTCTTAGACAATAGGATCCCACACGACACCAGTTTTATTACTTTTCAGACTGCGTGCAAGCTAAGAGAGGAAAGGATGTGTCACACTGAGTTTAATTAAAATACATTTGTATAATAGAAGAAGGATATAATTGCCCTGCATCGCCACATTACATAGTTAACAACACACAACAAATAACTCAAAGCTGCCAACTTGCATTGTTTTCTACTGTATATTTGACTTAGATTTTGCAGGGTCGAGGTTTGATTTTTAAAATTTGTTGTTTATGGAATTTAGATTTCTCTAATCAATATTTTCAGAGCTAACAATAATGAAGATCTGGAATCAAATCCATTTCATTGCAGAGAGTTAAGTTAGCAGTTTAAGTTAGCAGTGTGTACTGTATGTTTTACTTAATGCCAAACACACATACATATACACACAGCTAACAGCTTGATTTCCCTTCCAGTATTCTTGGTTGTAAAAATACTATCTGTACATCTGTATCTATCATACAAAGTTGTGAATAAGAAAGTTGACTCCCCCTCACTTCCTATTAATTGCTTTCTTAAGTCAGTCTCCATGGAGTTCATTACCTTATGAACTGTAGTTAAGACTCATTGCGTTAAATCTCTGTTGCAAGAGCACAATTAAAACAAATTAGGAAAACAATTATTTCAGAAACTTGGATGCAGTTGTATAAAATCAGAACTATATGCCATTAACCATGCTGGATATTTTATTGGTTTACTATTAAGAAAATGATTTTTCAACTTTTTTTTCATTAAAAAACAGGTTATAATAAATAAAGCAAAAATAATCAAAAATATACTTCAGATATTTTATGGTAAATATGAAACTTTATTAAAATAAATGATTTTGAGATTAGTTGTTGAAAAGATATTTGATTTTCATAATAAGTTAGATGTACTATTTCAATGAGATAGTCAGCGTGGTGGTTGGCCTAAGGGTCTGGACATAATGGAGGATGCCCTCTTATCTCACAGAGTCAGAATGGTAAAAAGCTACAAAGCTCCCTGGAAAAATCAGGAGAAAATGACTAAGATGATGAGATATAGACAGCCATAAAGGGCTAGCAAGGAGATGATTACGTACTGGATAAATGCAGGATTTGTCAGCATAGCACTGAGCTGGGCAGCTATGATGAGCTAATCCTGGATCTCCAAGAATGACTTTTTCAGATTTGAACTTGACTTCAAGAACCATACACTCATAGCAAAGGGAAAAATTACTTGTTGGAAAGAAAATTATAACTGTCCAAAGTCACCCTTTCAGGTGACAAGGACATAAACTTGGAAAGAAAAGAGTCAGAAGGCAGAGCTAACCTAGGTAGAAACTTGTAAATAAGTTCAGTCCACATTGTAAAAGGATGGTGACATTCAGATTCAGATCAACAGAGAGGCTAGGATTACAGCTCCTGGAGATCAAGAGTTTACACTAGTGTCTGGGTCTTTTTAAAATAAATTTATACTATTAATGGTTGCAGTAAAAATAAAGCTGATTCAAGGTTAGATTTTTAAAGCATATTTAGGTGTTTAAGGATGTAAATAGGCACCCACCTGGACTTTCAATAGTGCTAAAAACATATAATGAGAACTGTACATCTAGGAGGCTATGTGCATTTTAGGTGCCTAAATACCTTCAAAAATGTGTGTGTCTCTGAAGAACGCATGGCCTTTTTTTTTGTTTGTTTGTTTAACTTTGGCTCTCACAACATCCCGGCTACGTCTGAAGAACGCATGGCCTTTTTTTTTTTTTTTAAACTTTGGCTCTCACAACATCCCGGCTACGTCTAGACTGGCATGATTTTCCGCAAATGCTTTTAACAGAAAAGTTTTTCGTTAAAAGCATTT